CTTAAAGATCTCTAGTAATAAATCTGCTGAAATCTCTAAAATTTTGTGGTGTATTTTGTGTCAGGTTGAGGTGCTGTGTGTCCATTAATGAGGAAAAGTGAATTTAACTGATTTTAGCAAACGGCTGCAAAGCACCAAAGAGTGAAACGTTGACGGGGGTCTGAATAATTTCCGTTGCCACTGCGTATAAAACACTGAAACATGAGTAAAAGTCTTGCACCAGGAATGGGTTTGTTACTGTTGACTCAGCCAGCAGCTCAGAATAAACCTCAATATTTACTTCTTCTACAGTTAAAGGATTTGTGATGTTTGCAGAGTGAGTAGTGACTTCTGACACTTCTCTCATTCTGTTGTGTTTACTCACCGCCCCTCACAGCTCATCATATTAACCTAAAGGTTTGTGTCAATGTTTCATTCATCAGGCTTTAAAACACCACTGTGGTGACGGGTTTTAATGTCTCAGGGTTCAATTCAATTCAATTCAATTCAAGTTTATTTATATAGCGCCAAATCATGACAAGAGTCGTCTCAAGGCACTTCACATAATAAACATTCCAGTTCAGGTCAGTTCATTAAGCCAATCAAAACCAAAAGGTTTTGTTGCATGTTTGAGATATTGGTGATATTGGGCCAGAGTGACCTCTGACCCCCTGGTTAACTGAACTTAACCCTGACACCTGAGCGGAACCAAGACCTGGATGCCCAGAGCCTGATGATAAAGTGATGGTGCACCAGAGAGTACGTGGGGTTAGCAGCAGGTGTGATCAGAGGCGACAGCAACATCAAAACACAGTCATGGTCAGAAGAGTCTGACACGAGGAATGAAGAAACAGGGCTGGGTCAGTTACAGGTGTGCAGGCCTGATGTTTGTCTCGTGTCTGCTTGAGGCCTGTTTCACAATGAATGGAGACGATCAGGTTTCTATGCAGCTTCCGGACGCTCTTCCGTACACTCCGACTGCGGCTCGTGAGCTGACTGTCTCCAGAAGTCTGCTCCCGCACGATCCCCGACGCGTTTAAAAAACAAACCTGTGGACATAAGCTGAATTATCACACACCTGATATCAATAAAACAAAATCAGACAGACTCGGGTGAGGAGAGGGGCGGAGTTGTCATCTGACCTCTGCCGTGTGGTGAGTTGGCTTCGATGGTGGGGGAGGTCAGACCTGACAGGACCAACCCAAACACCTGTCTCCTGTTTTTACCAAGTAGCATCAAGCCTGACTTTACAACAAAAAACTTGTTAGAACAGAACTGGTTCTGGTTTTATTCTGTTTGTTCAAATTTGTATTTTTAAAGCCTATGGGGGGGGGGGGGGGGGGGGGCATTCTGTCGTGGCATCGATTATTGATCCATTCTCAGCCAGATCTCTGAGAGGTGGGGATGAAAATCTTCCTCTTGGACGGACGCTTTGTTCTGAGAAGAGGTGTGTTGTTGGATGGAATCGGAACAAAAGGCTCTTTATTATCTGAAGAGAAGATAACTATGCTTTAGGATGGTCCTCTGAAACATCAGTCTGACTAGAGTCATGCGAGCCTCTTTATTATCTGAAGAGAAGATAACTATGCTTTAGGATGGTCCTCTGAAACATCAGTCTGACTAGAGTCATGCGAGCCTCTTTATTATCTGAAGAGAAGATAACTATGCTTTAGGATGGTCCTCTGAAACATCAGTCTGACTAGAGTCATGAGAGCCAAGCCCAACAAAGGTGAAATCTAAGAGAGCAGGGATCGATTCTATGTGGTCATGATGGATGTTTGTTTAGATGTGTGCTGCTGGGAACGCCATCACTGCTTCCTGGTGTTTAGAGGATATAAGAGCTGGTGTGTGATGGCTCCACCACCTCCACGCAGGAACGCTGAAGCTCCAGTCTGAAGAGAAGAAGGTGATCCTGCTCCGGCTTTGGGACAAACTCTCCTAACAACTCCTGTTAGGGATTTATTAGACTGATGGTGTCTGATTCCTAACCTGACCTTTGGTCCTGATCACAGGTGATTACTGTCTTTGATCTGCATCAGCATCATCTCCACCATGAAGGTCCTGCTTCTGTCGCTTCTCCTCGGTGCCCTGTTGGCTCCGAGCCAAGCTGGAGGTGAGTGTGTGAGTCTGCACCGGTGTGTTATGAGCTGTGAAGGAGTCAGGTTGTGTTGCTGTTTCAGACAAAGCTGAAGCTGAAGGAGGAGTGGAAGCAGCAGGTTGGTGCATCTGATGATGTTTGTTGTGTTTGTGAAACGGCCGACCTCCGATGAACACATGAATGTTGTCCTCAGGAGAGAGTCATGTGGTGAAGAGATCAGCTGACTGCCCCGCTGGTTGGGCCAGATACAAGTCTCGCTGCTACCTTTATGTTCAGGCTAGTTCCACCTGGGCTGAAGCTGAGGTAACTACTCGAGTTTAGATCCAACATAGCTGCAGACACGAGTCGGAGATGTTACGGTCACCAGTCAGACCAGGCTCTGACCCCCACACGGACTGCTTTGGGTTCGTTGTGTCTCCTCTCCAGAGATTCTGCTTGGCTCGAGGGGCAAACCTAGCATCTGTCCACAACAAGAGACAATACAAATGGGTCCAGAAGTACATCCACAGGAAGAGCCGAGGCTATCCAGCTACCTGGATCGGAGGCTCTGATGCTGAACAGGTGAGGCTGCCTCTGGCTGCAGGTCCTTTCTACAGCATGGAAGCTAATTTCATCTTCAGTCTTTATTCTGTTTTATTCAGTTTTCCATCCGAACTTCTCTCAGCTCATGTCTGATGTTTCAGGAACATTACTGGTTTTAGAGCGACGGCTCACGCCTCACCTTTTCTAAATGGTGCTCCGGATATCCCCGCACCAACAACGGCTTCAACTGCATGGTCATCAGTCCCCAAGGTAATCTATTACAGCCACCAGTCAGTGAGGTGGTCCAGTTCTTCACAGATGAGACAGAAAACCTGCTAGACATGATGGCTCTTCTACAGAAGGGATGTTTTATTAAGGTTGGAATGGTTCAGAAAATCCTGACTTTGTGTTTCTGATGTTTTCAGAATGCAGCTGCTGGCATCACTACCCGTGTTATTATCGCTTCCCCTTCATCTGCGTCAGGAAGTAAAGAGCTGGAGGCCTGAAGCGTCTCCTGCAGAACTTCTCCACCAGTCTTCTACTGATTAAATCCTAAAGCAGTAAAACCAGCTGGTCTCTGTGGTCGTTCTTCAGATACTTTATGGTAGTTTTGGCATTAGTTACTGATATTTCAACAACATTTACAGTCCTCCTAAACACCAACACAAAACCTCCCATCACCATGACGATAAACGGATAACACCCGTTCACATCATATGTAAGAGCTGTCTTTACTGCCTGGGAAGTGACTTTCTCCGGAGATACTAGTTCAGACACTTTGAGCTCAGGCACAAAAACAGATTATTTTTACTCACTCGTCTTTGTTTCTGTGTGAACATGAGAGGGTGTGTGGAACCCAGAAATATCCCATAATCCCCCGTTAGATTAACTTGTTTTTTTTTCACTCTCTCCATGCTTGTTGGATTAAATGGTGACACGTAAGAAAAAACTATTTTGTCAGTTTTTAACCTTCATCAACGTTTCAGTGAGGAGCCTCAGTAGTTGGTAGAACATCCATGTGCAGCCATTACAGGTTGGCTCCTCCCCCTTGTGGTAACTATCAGCCTGGTTCCTCATCATCATGCTGGTCACCAGTTAAGTCACCTACTGGCAGGCCCACGCTGGCCACATGGTTACCCTATGCAGAATTTACCCACCCCATGTTGTGATTGTTGGCAGGTGGGGATGATGGTCAGTGTTTGATACTTCTGCCTCGCTTTTGTGATGTGAATCCGTCTGGCTCGACTTTCTGGAAGACATGTTCAACACCTCAGTCTCTAATTCTGTGCTTGGAGCTTCGACAGGCTGATCTCAGCTGATCTTCACTTCACTGCAGCTTGTTGGCTTTCGCGAGTACCTGCGTCTCATAAGGACATGGTAATAGTGACTTGTGCCTCTTTTAGCACCTCTGTTGGTTAAATTGCGCCTGATAATTGCCTCAATTATTGGCCGAATGTTCTCACCTGGTGTTTTCTTCTCACACACTTGTGACCCCTGTCCTGTGGAGCTTAAACCCTAACCCTTATTCCCCCAGTGGGCTGTTATCTGGTGAACTCTGGGCTTTTTTACCAGCTGTTCTCTGCTGCATCAATACAAATTGTGACCATTTCTCTCTCTTCACTCCCTCACTTCGGCTGCTCTTGTTTCATTTTGGCGCCCACGCAGCAATCCTGCAGGAGGGGAGTGTTTTATCTGTGTTTTGGCACACGGCTGTTGTTTCCGATAGCTCAGTCTGAACAAATGAGGCGCAGACCACATCCAGCTTTGCCTTTAACGCAATCCAGCCTTAAAATGCAAAGCCTATATGAAATAGAGTAATGGTTACATATTGCAACTGCCCCCCCTGGCCACTTGGTGCCCTATGCATGGTGCATGATGACTATTGGTTATGTAATGTTATATGGATTGTTCCAGCAAACAAAGAAATCCTCTGAATACAACAAATGCAAGCTGTAGCATGTTTTTTGTCTAGAAATAAGTAACAAGGCATTTATCTGAAATAAACCACCAGGTTCAGGGGACTGTTAGACAAATGAGGAGATGAAATAGAGTCTTTGGAGATAAATTTTAAAGGAGATGTACAGTTGGATGTCATCTGCATAAAGGTGGTGGGACATTTATTTAAAAGAGCTCAGGGTGTGCTGGAGAGGGAGCAGATGGAGGAGGACGAGTGGAGGACCCAGCACAGAACCTTGTGGGACACCAAGGCCAAGTTTACTGTTCTCATTATAAAATAAACTCATGGTTTTATTTAAAACTTCCTGTTTTATATTGGGTAAACTATGAATTTGAAATTACTTGAGTAACTGTTTTAAATGCCAACAGGGTGAACAGAGTAGTGCAACTTTGTCTCAGGTCCTCTGATCCACATCCACCACAAAGTACATCACACCAGCTGCTTGCTTCAAATGTATTAACCGAATGCAGAAGATTCTTTTTTAGATGCATTACATGAAACCACCACCAAACTAAGAAGCTCACATCCACATAACAAAGCATGTCTTCTAATAGGCAAGAGTGTGTTTTTTAACTGCCCAAAAATTTAAAATTGCTCACATCCACATCTGGATTTTACGCTTATTCTTGTTGGATTATACAGACAAGCGATGTGATGTTTAGCTGGACTTTTACTTTTTAGGACGGATCTTCATGGTAAAGATCTTCAGGGAGTAGTCATGTCCCTTCCAATTGTACCACGACACTCCAACAGCAAAGAGTGTGTTATCTGCCCCCCAGCGGTAAACCCCATTAGGGTTGGTATAATGGCAGGCAGCATACCAAAATGCTCCAAGATAGGTTCTGGCACAGTTGTTGCCCCACAAGTCCTGGTCGTTGTCAAAGGTGCTGAATTTTAGGCCATTGTGGTTGCCAAGAGCATCTCCTGCACAAACAAACACATGATTACAATCAACCAGATGCAAGAAGTAAACATCTGTGTTGTGTTCTGACACCAGGTGGCAGCAGAGCACTTGTTCTGTGTCTAATGGATGCAGCACGTGAGAGTGTCCCTTCTGTTAATAAAGTTTCTGTGGATACAGTTACTGCTTTCCCTGCTTTCTGCTCATCTCAAAGCAAAAGTTGTGGAGTGGAAAAGAGTGAAATTATATAAACTGTAAGATAATTAGGATTTCAGATAAAAGAACGTACATTTTGGTATAAAACCTCCCTCAGTGACTGGATCTGATGCTCTCCATCAGAAAACAGATTCTACATCGGGCTATGGACCCGAGTCTCTGTTCTCTAGTGCTAATGTGAGGAACCCCTAAGGTGTTAGAGAGAGCTAGGAAGAGAGTTCAGATTTCTCCAGATTCAGCATCACTTCCTCAGCTCCCTTTTAGAGCGTCAGGTTTATTTAGCAACAGCTGACCTGTACAAGAGGAAAGGTCCCATGACTCACCACTGCCCCCCTTATCACTGAATCCAGTGACTTGCAGGCGGTAACCTTCACTCTCAGAATCCACTTTGAATGAAGAGTAAAGAGCAAATTTCTTGTTCCCCTCAAAGTCCTCCAGGTCAACCATCAGCTCATAGTTCTGAAGGCGAGTCAGCTGGTAGATGTTCTCAAGACCTAAAAAACACACAAACCCTGAGTTTGTTTCTTCTAACAGCCTGATGCTCTAGACCTGCTGCTGTCTTGGTTTAATCATGTGAAAGTGAGACGAGGCAGTTTTGGATTGCATTAGCACCCCCTAGTGTCTGTAGAACCCAAAGCAAAACGTGTCGCCTCACTGTGTTCGTCTTTTTAACACCCTGATCTAACAGCCTTCCTTAGTGTCTACAGGAGTGATTCATCACTAAATCAGCTAAAACATGCAGTAAATGTGCTGGAAGCAGACTGCAGGTGTGTCAGCTCAGTTTATTTCCGTGTCCCAACCATCGACATACATATATGGACAATGGGTTTCTAGAGCCTCCAATAATACGATTTTGTACTAAAATGGGAGGTGGCCACCACCGCCATTTTGACCGTGTCACAGGTTCCGTCAAGCCCAGACAATTCCATAAAAGGGAAGAGAGGTGGGGCTGAGGGTGGGGCTGTAAGGCTGGGATCAACTGACGACACCCGGTCGAACTAGCTACAAGCTAACCTGAAGCTAACCCAAAGCTAATGCGGAGGTGGGAGCTAAGCTAACAGAGGTAGCAGCCTAGCTACAACCGGAGTTAACTGTGCACAACACCAGAGCTTCTGAGTCAGAGATATGCCGGGCTGACCGCTGGGTAAAACCGGGTGGAACACAGAGGTCTCCGAGAGCTCCACAAGCCGATAGTCGGAACCCAGCTCCACCAACATGTTTTATTTCAACCCATTTTCTAAAGTGCAGCATTATGTTAAATGCACTGGGTTTTACCCTATTACATTTAAATTTCATGGTTAAACAGTACATGTTAAAATCTAAGCTCAGCTCGGCAGTGACCTAAAATACATAAATACAGTTTTACTTACCGAAAAAATGGAGACTCCTTGGACGCTCTATTAGTGCAATTAATGCCACAGCAAGTCATTTTGTCCAACAATTGCACAAATAATATCCAAAAAAGAATACACAAACACAGAGACTCGAAATGCCGGAGCAGTTTCTAAGCCAGACCGAGGCTCTACTGAGGCCTTTCCACGGAGCTAGCTCTGTGGTCACGTGGGTCTGATGCTCATTAATTATACAGAATTTTAGGCTTTTAATACACTTAAACAGAAGAGTGAGAAAAAAATTCACCCCCCTCAGAGTTGTCATGAGTGTAAACTAGATCATTTAAACCAAAAACATGTTTTGGTACCAGGCTGTAAACATGTTTATTTCTGCTGTGAAATTGGTATTTTTAACATGGGAGTCAATGAGGAGTTGCTCGCTTCTGACACCAGCCCCCAGTGGATGAGGGTGGAACTGCAATTTTTGGTACTTCCGGGTTGAGACCAATTTTAGAGCCGCATTGTGGGGGCTTGGTCCCAACAGAGTAGCTCGCCAGTCTGAAGTTGCAAGTGGAATATTCTGGCCACTGGGGGGCGATAGTGGCTGGGTGGCCTTTCCTTAACCTGGAGGGCTGGTATCCAGCACGTTTTAGTTTTACCCCTGCTTCAAAACAACTAATTTCATTCAGCAGGTGATTAACAGTCGTCTGCAGTGCCTGATGAGCTGCTGCACAGATGATTCAAACACTGATTCTAGTGACTTGGACTAGAGAAATCACTAAAACGAGCTGGATGCCGGCCCTCAAGGCACCAAATTGAATAGCCGATCTGCAAAGGGTCGTTTTAGCACATACTGGCTCAGGAAAATGATTTTAAAATATACAAAAGTATCCCTTTAAAATAAGTGAAGTTTGTTATTCCTCACCAGTAAGTCGTGCTAACAAACTCATATTTAAACAAACATTTTTTTCATGAAATACATTTCTTGATGGAATCTTGGTCTCTCACCGAGCCAGTACTCTCCTGCAGCATTTCCAAAGCCACGCTTGTACTGGTTCCAGGTTCTGTAGAAGTTCACCGATCCATCCAGCCTTCTCTGGAAAACCTGCAAACGCAACATCGGGTCTCAGAAGCGAACAAACAACCAGAAATCCACAATTCTGCCCTATTTGTTTACTTTGCTTTAATTATGTTGTTTCTTTATTTTGGACCAAAATCTGTTTAAAAAATGGTAAGAAAACTGGCCTAAAATCTGTTGCACTAAATTAATAGTAATAATAATAATATCAATAATAAGAAGATGAAGAATAGTAAAAAACTACAAATAAAAACAAATAATAATAATAATAATAAATATAATAATAATAATAATTATTATTATTATTACTGGTATAATAATAATAATAAATATATTAATAATAAATACAATGATGAAAATAATAATAATAATAATAATAATAATAATTATCAATTAATAATTTTATTAATAATGAATAATAAAAATTAAATATATTTACAACAACAACAACAACAATAATAATAATAATATTTATTATTATTATTATTATTATTATTATTATTATTATTATTATTATATTTTTTTGTATATTTGTATGCTTTCACTGAAGTGCCAGAATCAATCCATGCTTCTAAGGCAGTTTCAGGGTTAGTTTATGGAAAGCGTCCTTCTGATGATGTGGGCACTTCCGAGAAGAACAATCTTCTGGATTTCTTGGACTGTTGGGTTTCCAGGAATCTGTTTTGTTCTCTTTTCCAGTCCCTTCTTGATGAGGCCAAGTGCACCCACTACGACGGGTATTGTTGTTGTCTTCATCCCCCACATTCTTGTGACTTCTATTTCCAGGTCCTTGTACTTTGATAGCTTTTCAAGCTCCTTGGTGGTGACATTTTTTTCAGATGGGATGGTCATATCAATCATGAGGCAGGTCTTCTCTTCTTTGTTTTTGATGATTACGTCTGGTCTGTTGGCCATGATTTCTCTGTCTGTGTTGATTGGCATGTCCCACAACACTGCGATGTTGTTGTTTTCAGTCACTGTTGGTGGTTGGTGTTCATACCACTTATCTGCAGCTGGTAGATGGAAATGTTTGCAGATCTTCCAGTGGATATAGCTTGCTGCCCTGTCGTGTCTGTGGATGTACTCAGTTCTGGCTAGAGTGGGGCAGCCTGAGACAATGTGGTCAATGGTTTCTTCCTACTGGCTGCACATTCTACACATGGGGTCTGTTCCGTCTTTAATGATCTTGTGGTGGTATGATCTCGTTGACAGGCTCTGGTCTTGTGCTGCTATCAACAATCCTTCAGTTTCTGCCTTCAGTCCTGCACTGCGTAGCCACTGATGAGTATGATCTTGTTCTACATCAGCTTTTTTTACTCTCATGGGGTATTGTCCATGCATTGGTTTTTCCTCCCATGTTTCTCTCATCCTTTTTTGTGCCCATTTCTTTGCCTCCCTTCTGGTCCTCTTGGCAAAGCTTGTCACTGTTTCTTTCTCTTTTCTTGCCACCTCTGGGATGTTTAGTTCCTGTGCATATCTTATAGCTTCTTTTGTAACAGAGTAGAGCTTCTTTCGAGCTTCATGTTGACAAACGAGGATCAGTAGGGCATCGTCTGTTGTTTCAAGGTAGGTTTTCAATGCCATTGTTGTTGTTTTGTAAGCCATCTCAAGTTGTGTAAGTCCTCTGCCTCCAATCTGTCTTGTTAGATACATTCTTTCAACATCCGCTTATTATTATTATTATTATTATTATTATTATTGCAGTATTACTTGAAATGCTGCCAATTATTCAGCTGTGGTTTTAAGGGATCATGTGATCAGGACTAGAGAAGAAGCACCTGCGTGTAGAACATGAACGAGGGTGGACAGAACAGAGAGAACACTGAGAACCAGGGTTCTACTGCTGTGATCTAGATAACTCACCGTCCAGCCTCCTCCTGCTGCAGGCATGTCACAGTAGACCTTCAGACACACAGAAGCAGTCGTCAGGTCATGTGACTCAGACCTGATTCAGTGTTTAAATGTTTATAGAAAACTGACGTCATAATTAAACAGCAAATCACTTCCTAATACAAATGTTAAAACAATGTTTGGAAAGACTAAAGGAGATCATTTAACCTCAAATCCAAAAAGCCAAAATAAAAGCATCAGCAGAGTCATTTGTGCACTCATTAGACACAAACTGATGTCACTGGAAACAAAAAAAACTGTTCTTTTTCCTCCCGGTGAAATTTGACACTTGACTTTACTGACTTAGATCATAAAATAGTTCAAGCGTAGACATGGTTCCAAAAGTCTAGTTTGTTTGGTTTGACTGACAAAAACAATTTTTTTATGCCACGGCAAAAATAGTCTGACAAGCAGAGGTGTGGCCAAGTCACTCCTTTGCAAGTTCCAAGTAAGTCACAAGTCTCTCCAATCAAGTCTCGTGTCAAGTCCAAGTCAAAGACAACCGAGTCCAAGTTGAGTCCAATGCCAATGATCTGGAAGTCCAAGTCAAGTCCAAGTCCTTAACTTAGAACTTTCAGGTCATGATCAAGTCATCTGTCCAGCTTCAATTTAATGATAATGATAATAAATAAATTCCAGAATTAAAGCCTCTTAAAGCTTCATTTGTTTGCTCAAACAAGCAGAAGCTGAAACTGAGCTTCTGCATTTAGCAGAACCAGATCAAACCCAGAACCAAGAATGATTCATGACTTTTGTCCATGTCGGGCCACTTTTGTGCTAAAATATCAAATATGCTCAAGTCATCATCAAGTCAACAGATGCAAGTCGATTCAAGTCGCAAGTCGTTGGCGTTCAAGTCCAAGTCAAGTCGTAAGTCTTTGTAGATTTTATCAAGTCAAGTCAGACGTCATTAATATAATGACGTTCACCTCAACAGCAGATGTGGACCCAATGGGATAGATGGTGTACACTCCACTGGGTTGGTTCTTGTTCTGCTGGAGGATGTCGGAGCAGTCCACCGGCAGTTTGACGTCTGCACAGCTGATCAACACTGGAGCCAGAAGGAGGAGGACTGAGGAGAGCTGGAACGGAGGATCATATGAAGGTGAAAACAAAACAAAGCTCGGACGCAGGTGCATCTCCTCAAAAAGCCTTAAAAACAAAGCTCTCTGCTCTAAGGGAGCTAATTCAATTCCTCATATCAGGAAATGTCCTTTTAACATCCCATGGTGTCATGATGCTTTGAACTGTTTCCCTGGGAGCGAGTTAAGTGTGTAGTGGTAGACCCCAGAGGTCAAAGGTCAAATTCAGGCAGTCAGATATTCAATTTTATTGGATTTCACAAAATGGAAATGTTCAAATCAAAATGGATCAATGGAATAAAAAACACAAAGATGCATTTAGATAAAACAGTAAAGCCTGCAGAGGATTAAAGGTTCAAATCTACCTTCATCATCTTCTCAGTTCTGTTGAGGTGGTCTGAAGAGAATCTGAAGATTGTCTGGACCTCTGCTGAGCTGCATGGAAGCAACAAGAAGAGGCAGACATTAGTGTTCCCAGCTCTGACTCAGGGGGGAGGAGGTGTCTTCTTCTGTCATGGGTTCAAACTCACCTGCAGCTGGAGATAACCACCTTCTCATACTCGGAGACTTCAGCGCTTTATATCCATACAAGGTCCTGAGGTGTGACAGCAGCCAGCCAATCAGAAAACGATTGACCATGCCCCGTCATGTGAAAAAGTAAGTCCTACCACACAAAACAAACACACCCGCTACAGGAACTGAAATGAGAAGAGCACAATCCTGGAGATGTGCACAAACTAACTCCATGACAAACGTCAGGAATTCTCTTTTTCTTTTCGGTCTGAGATGAAATTCAAACATTAAAGGCAAACTTAGCAGAGAAATTTTGATAATAATTGCCAAAACACACACACACGCACACACACACACACACACACACACACACACACACACACACACACACACACACACACACACACACACACACAGAGAGAGAGAGAGAGAGAGAGCGCAAGAGAGAGAGAGAGAGAGGTGTCAGGTATGTATGTCAAAATTATGACATGCAACCACTCTCTAGTCCATTTGTTTTTACCATTTTATTTAAAAAAAAAACAAAACAGAGGAGTTTAAGTATCTCGGGGTCTTGTTCACGAGTGAGGGAAAACTGGAGCGTGAGATCGATAGGCAGATTGGTGCTGCGTCTGCAGTGATGCGGGCATTGTACCGGTCTGTCGTGGTGAAGAGAGAGCTGAGTCAGAAGGCGAAGCTCTCGATTTACCGGTCGATCTACGTTCCTACCCTCACCTATGGTCATGAGCTTTGAGTAGTGACCGAAAGAACGAGATTGCGGATACAAGCGGCCAAAATGAGTTTTCTCCGCAGAGTGGCTGGGCTCTCCCTTAGAGATAGGGGGAGAAGCTCGGTCATCCGGGAGGGGCTCGGAGTAGATCCACTGCTCCTCCACGTTGAGAGGAGTTAGTTGACGTGGCTCGGGGATCTGGTCAGGATGCCTCCTGGACACCTCCCTAGTGATGTTTTCCAGACACGTCCAACCGGGAGGAGACCTAAAGGTAAAGGTAATTTTGACATACACACCTGACACATTGGAGAGACTATGTCTCTCTCCTGGCCAGGGAACACCTTCGGATTTCCCCGGAGGAGATGGCCCAAGTGGCTGGGGAGAGGGAAGTCTGGGCCTCTCGACTTAGGCTACTGCCCCCACGATCCGACTCCGGATAAGCGGATGAAAATGGATGGATGGAACAAAACAGAGACTCATGAAACAGCACGTCACATTGGGGTAGGCCTCTGGGCTCAAAACGTAGATCAATGTGGAACAATCTGCTTCCGACAGGTCGGGAGCCCCAACGTGTTGGAAGGCAATGTCCTATGCCAGAGCGTCGCCTCCCGAAACCTGCGGTAAAACGGAGATTTTAGCTAATTCTGACCTTTACCCTCCTGTTATTTAACCTTCCCCTCACCCCCGTCCTAACCATAACCCACTTGCACATACAAAACTTTGTTTCCAGTTGTATCGTTCCTCTCAAACACGGTTAACAGGACATTTACAAAGAGAAACTGGGTTACGGTTAGGATGGGGGTGAGGGGAAGGCTAAATCACTAGAGGTTAAATGTTGGTGAAATGTCCGTTTTACTGCAGGCGTCGCTTGGTCACCCTTCGTCTGTTTCAGCCGCTTCGGGTGTGAGAATGTGTTGGGTTATTCTGTGTGTTATTTTTTTTATCAGACTTTGAAAAGACAATAGCAATAAAAGGCTACAGGCAGCGAGGCCATCAGGAAACGCCTTGGAATCGGGCCAGGCCATGCTGAGTAGGAACTGGTGGAGCAAGCGGCCAGTTGGGTCCTAGCCAGCTTCCTGTTCGCAAAATTTTCAATGTTGCTCTGAGATTTAATGTTGGAGGTAGTTATTGTTTTCAGAGTAGGTCTGAGAAGGACGGGTGTGCCAGGACTGCTTAGCACGTGTTTTTATGTCAAGGTGTAGCAAGCCAGCTGCACAGGTTCAGACACAACGGACAACTCAGCTCTAGAGTTCAACAACTCTTTAGTCACAGCTTTTCAGCTGTTGCATTCTCCTACCTGCTGCCCGGAAAACCTCACCAGGGAGGTGTCCAGGAGGCATCCTTTATTTATTTATTTTTTTATCATATCTGTCCTGCTGTGAAATTATCAGAATTGATGTCTGAATGCCGAAAACAAGCCTTGCAGTTTTATTCTCACAGGTGGAGCATTACAGCTTCTGTTATAATGCCACTCCTGATACCAAAACTTCATTAGAAATATTTTTCTTTGTTTAAAATTCCGACGGACACGGAGACAGAAGTGCAAGAGAAAGGGGGAGAGAGAAGGGAGAGATGGAGGAGGGGGATTCACAAAAAATAAACAATAAATGATGAAGAATCTGCTTCTAGACCTGCAGAAAGAGAGAGAGAGAAAGGGAACACAGAAAAACACAACAAGAACAAAATATCACTGCACCAACAACATGAGGATATATAAAAGTAACACATGGTAATAATTCATACTGCATTTAGTGCCAACCACAGCCACCACACAGGTGATGTGTTGAAAATGCCCAAGTCCATCCTTGTGAGAGCACCTTGTCAGCACCTGCGTACGCACGCGTGTATATGTAAGGTTTCTCTATAGGAGTGTCCAATAGTGAGTCAGGGGCCACAGACCTGCCCCTAAAGACGTGTGGAAGATGGAGGAGTTCCAAGCCCTATAGATCCACGGGTCTCTCCAAAGCGCAGGAACCCCCTGAGAGACAGCCACCGGAGAAGCCCTAACCCCCCTCCCCAGAGGCGTAGAGGATTACCCCGGGGGTCGCAACCAGCAGCCGCCAGAGTCCCGGGAGGTAACAATGGCAAGCCTCAGGTCGCCTGCAGCTGCCCACCCCCGAGCTGTTTGAGACAAGTACACACCACCTCAGACCCAACCACACAACCAGCTCCCACTCCTAGCCTCCAGCTCAGGACAACTAACAGAGAACAGAAGTGTGATAAGACCCCATGTCTCCCTCCGCCTGCTCCAATGTGGTGTTGATGCATGTTGTTAAAGTCCAAGAGGCATCCTAATCCGATGCCCGAGCCACCTCAACTAGCTCCTCTCGATGTGGAGAGGCAGCAGGTCTACTTCGTGCCCCTCTTGAATGACCAAGCTTTTCTCCCTATCTCTAAGGGAGCACCCAGCCACCCTGCAGAGGAAACTCATTTTGGCCACTTGTATCCGTGATCTTGTTCTTTCGGTCACTACCCAAAGCTCGTGATCATAGGTGAGGGTAGGAACATTGAACGTCTAGTAAATCGAGAGCTTTGCCTTTTGGCTCAGCTCTCTCTTCACCAAGACAGACCGTTACAACGCAAGGAGAAGCAGCAACAATTCCACCTGTTGATCTCACGCTCCATCTTTCACTTGTGAACATCACCCCGAGGTACTTAAATCCCTCCACTTAGGGCAGGACCTCATGCCTAACCTGGAGAAAGCATTCCGTCATTTTCCATCACAAGATAATGGTCTCAGATTTAGAGGAGCTGATTCTTATACCAGCTGCTTCACACTCGGCTGCGAACCGCCCCAGCGAAAGCCAAAGATCAAGTTCCGATAAAGCCAACAGGACCACGTCATCTGCAAAAATCAGAGACTCAATCCTTAGGCCAGAAACAGATTCCTTCAACACCATGGCTGCGTCTACAAATCCTGTCCAGAAAAGTTATGAACAGAATGGGTGACAAAGGGCAGCCTTGGCGGAGTCCAACTGTCATGGGAAACAAGCTCGACTTACTGCCGGCAATGCGGACCAAGCTTTGTCACCGGTCATACAGGGACCTAACAGCCCATTCATACTCCCGAAGTACCCCCCCACAGGGCCTCTTGAGGGACACGATCGAACACCATCTCCAATTCCACAAAACACATGTAGATTAGTTGGGCGAACTCCCACGCACCCTCCATCATATTTACTCATAAATTAAGTCAAATGGGGCTTTTTCAGTTTCTTGGAAAAAGGGGTGACATCTAAAGACTTTTTGTAAACGCCTACAATCTTTGGCATCTGACTCGTCCAACACGGACCTTAATAGAAAAATACACTTCCTCTAAAATTCAGTTGTAGCTAAGTTTCCCAACCTATCTGTCCATCCATCCATTTTCTGAACCTGCTTTGTCCATGTGGGGTTGCGGGGCTGGTGCCTACCTCCAGGGGTCAACGGGCAATCAGGCAGGGTACACAATGGACAGAGAGCCAGTCCATCGCAGGGCAACACAGACACACAGGACAAACAAACACACACACTCACACCTAAGGACAATTTAAACAGACCAATTAACCTAACAGTCATGTCTTTGGACTGTGGGAGGAAGCCGGAGGACCCAGAGAGAACCCACACATGCACAGGGAGAACATGCAAACTCCATGCAGAAAGATCCCAGCCGGGAAGCGAACCCAGGACCTTCTTACTGCAAGGCAACAGCTTTAACCACTGTGCCACTGCGCAGCCCAAGTTTCCCAACCTTCATGCTAAATTAATCTCTCATTGGGGGACCAAACCAGGTCTTTCAATGCAATATTTTAGCAGCATAGAACGATCCTTTTTCAAGATCAAACAACCGTTACTTGTTTTAACTTGCCAAACTGCATCAGATGCAAAACGACCTGCCAGCTTCCACCAGTCACCCAGGGGAGTGACCAGTTGTGCGTATTCAGAGGGGTCCTACGACCTTTGAATACATCAGAAGTCCAATCATTGGCTTTGTCGAGACGGCTTCGCTTGCCGACCGGACATTCTATGTTCTGTGTTCCAATTAAGCAAGATAAATATAAGTTGCTACATGACAAAGCCTGAGTATACCCGGGAATGAAAAGGTTTCTTTCAGCGAATGTCTACCCATAGCCGCTCCAACAAAACACACCTGCAACAGCAAATTAAACACTGTTTGCTATGGTAGTCCAGTGGCATAACTGTCTGACCTTTCTTTAGTTTTGCTGTTCAACTCTAGGTGGGGT